GTAAAGAAAGGGCATAATTTCAACAGTCTTGATATGAATAGTAGTTATTTTTAGTCATCATAAAGCAAAAATTATTTAAAAATGATAAGCATTAGTGTTATTATAACTAAAATAATTTTAGTTTAAAAAATTTTCAAAATATTCTTTTTTTTAATTAGTATTACTTTACAAGACGAAAAATATTACTAACCAAAAAGTAAAATAATTTTTACTTTGAAAGCAAAAATTGCTTTTTTCCCCCTTAAAAATCCCCCTTCTCTTTCTCTTAATAAAAAAAAGGGCTCTCTTAATAGAATAGATAACTATAGATATGATTTATTCTGATAATAGCAAGTATCGAATACATTAGTAGAAACTTTTTTATCTTACCTTTGCTTATCTTAAGTCTTACTCAGTTATAATGTCCTAACATCCTGACTTTCCACTTTAAACAATAAGAGATTATTATTTTATTAATGGTAGAGATAAGGAGGTTAAATCTATGTCCACAGATGGTTAATAATCAATCTACAACTTAGTTTATTTTAAATTTACTAATAAACGAGCAAAACTATGGTAGGATATTTTTTAATAACAATCAATTAGAAAATAAATAACCAAATTCGACTAACTGATTCCACTTTTTTATTATTAACTATTTGAGTGGAGCAAATAATTAGACAATTCAATTAAGCCACGAAAACTAATTGATTGTGCCTATAGTTGTTATTTAACAATTCTACTGGAACATTAATGCCATCTTCGTTTGATTTCTTTTATAAACTTGTGTGTTTCTATTTACCTTAACTAAGTCAAAATTCACGTTCCTATAGTACTTTTCTCAATCATCTATATATTATTTTAGTAATTATTTTTTCTAGTGGAGGGTTATAAAATATTCTCTCTTCTCATTTGCCTTTTCTTTAAGACAAAAAAACAATAAAAATATCTAAATTATTCCTTTGGTGCGGGACAAGAGATTCGAACTCTCACGAACTAACCGTCCACAAGAACCTCATTCTTGCGTGTCTACCATTCCACCAATCCCGCTAATATGTTATATAGTAATTGTAAAATACCCATAGGAAAGAAATTTCTGAAACAGTGATTTGATATTGTTTATTTTCTAACTCTGATTGAGTGATAACCAAATAAAATTCTACATTTTTAAAATTTGGTTATAAAAAGAATTAGTGAAAAATTAAACTAATAACTGCTCCTGTAATTCAGTGGATAGAATACTCGTTTCCTAAACAAGTCGTCGGAGGTTCGAATCCTTCCAGGAGCGCCATAAAAATATTTGTTTAAAAAAAGAGTAAAATTTATTCAATGAAATTAATTGTGGGTTTAGGTAATCCAGGTAGAGAGTATTTGATGACTAGACACAGTTTAGGATTTTTAGTGATTGACCGTTTAGCCCAAAAATTAGGGGTGAAATTAACTAAAGAAAAATCCCGAGGCTTGTATTATAAAACTGACGACTATATTCTCCTGAAGCCGCAAACATATATGAATAGTTCCGGCGAATGTATTTCAGTTTTTATGAATTTTTGGCGAATTCCTAAGGAAAATTTATTAGTAATTTATGATGATATTGCATTACCATTAGGACAATTTCGTTATCGTGAACAGGGTTCAAGTGGTGGGTATAATGGAATGAAAAATATTATTGAAAACTTAGGCACAGATGAATTCAAACGTTTACGAGTTGGTATTGGTTATGAGCAGAATTTTCTTATTAAAGATTGAGTATTGGGAAAGTTCTCTTTACCAGAAAAAGCAGAATTAAAAAAAGTATTTCCCCTTTTAGTTGATGGTTTGTTAGAATGAAGTAAAGAGAGTAATTTTAAAAAAGTTATGAATAAATATAATTCTAAATAAGAGTATAATATCTATGATTAAAAAATTATGTATATGAATGAAAAAAATAGATTCACCACTAATTATGTTAGGCAAAGTTGATTAGATATTTTTCAACAAAAAGGCTATTATTTGTTAGAACCTTCTTCCCTTATTCCCCAAAACGATCCTTCTTTATTATGGATTAATTCCGGGGTAGCCACTTTAAAAAAGTATTTTAATAATCCTAAATCGGCTCCGGCTCGTAATATGGCTAATTGCCAACGAGTAATTCGCACCGACGATTTGGCTAATATTAATGCTCAATCTTATCATCAAACTTTATTTGAAATGTTAGGCAATTTCTCCATTGGTAGTAATTTTAAGGCGGAAATAATCCCAATTGTTTGAGAATGATTCACTTCCCCAAAATGGTTAAATATGAATCCCCAACATCTTTTTATTACGGTCTGGGAAAATGATAAAGTTAGTTATGAGGTGTGGAAAAAACAAGGGGTAAAGGAAAACCATATCCTTTTTGGTAGTAAGAAAACTAATTTTTGAGATATGGGTGATGGACCGTGCGGACCTAATACTGAAATATACTATGATTTTCAAGTAGACGGCACACCACCAAAAAAAATTACAGACTTAGATAGTAAAAGGTTTTTAGAAATAAGTAATACGGTTTTCCCCGAGCTTTATCATAAAGGAACTGATTATTTGCCTTTGGCGGAGAAATGCGTCGATACCGGAGCCGGATTAGAACGAATTGCTATGGTCTTACAAGGCAAAAAAAATGCTTTTGAAATCGATTTAT